GCAGATAAGTGTGTTTACATCAAAAGATACTCCAACGAGGCATTCATAGTTCTTCTACTATACATCGACGATATGTTGATCGTTGGGAATGATGCAGAGAAGATAAGTCAGCTGAAGAAAGAACTTTCCAAGTCTTTTGATATGGAAGATTTATGAAAGGCTCAACAGATTCTTTGGATGCAGATTACTCGAGACCGAGAGAATGGTAAGTTATGGCTATCTCAAGAGAAGTATATTGAACGAATACTTGAAAGATTCAATATGAGTGATGCCAAACCAGTGAGTATTCTACTTGCGAATTATTTCAAGTTGAGCAAAAGATCATGTCCAACATCCAAGGAAGAGATGGGGGAGAGGTCTGCAGTGCCATACTCTTCAGCAGTTGGAAGTTTGATGTATGCAATGGTATGTACAAGGCCAGATATTGCTCAAGCAATGGGTGTAGTGAGTCGTTTTCTTTCTAACCCTGGGAAGGAGCATTGGGAGGCTGTCAAATGGATTCTCAGATACTTGAAGGGTACTTATGTGTTATGTCTTTGTTACGGGGGAGCTGATCCAGTCTTGGAAGGATATACTGATGCTGATATGGCCAGAGATATTGATTGTCGAAAATCTACTTCGGGCTATGTCTACACTTTTGCAGGGGGATCCATTTCTTGGCAATCAAGATTGCAGAAGTGTGTTGATTTATCCATAACAGAAGCTGAATATATTGCTGCCGCTGAAGCTGCCAAAGAAATGTTTTGGTTAAAGCGTTATATCCATGAACTTGGGATCAAGCAGAAAGAGTATAAGGTATATTGTGATAGTCAATGTGCTAAGCAAGAACTCTATGTACCATGCCCGCACAAAGCATATTGATGTTTGGTATCACTGGATACGCGAGAAGATTGATAAAAAACTGCTGAAACTAGTGAAGATCAATACGAAGGAGAATCCATCAGATATGCTGACAAAAGTGGTTACACTTGATAAGCTTAAGCTATGCAGAGACGTAGTAGGAATGCTTGTTCAAAACTTGCATGGAAAGGGGAGAATTGAAAGTTCCATGCAACACCAACAAGTTGTAGCACACAAAGGAAGAAGTTCTACATGTAGCACGCCAATGGAGATTTCATCAAGGGTGTGCTATACATGCTTCACCAAACCACCTTCCTCTTTCACATCATTTAGTCAATAATGGTGTGCCTTCTTGTATCCATAAATAGGGTGCTTATTTCATTCATTTGAATCATCCAAGAGTGTGATCAATCAACCTTGAGAGTGTTGAAACACAACCAAGAAAAAGTTGTGGAGAGTTTGAGAGTTTTTTGTTTAGAGTTTGTAAATCTCTTGTTTTTATTCTTGTGAGTAATAGAAACTTATTTTTCTCTCAGTTATGTTTATGATGTTGGGATGATACCACAACATTTTCTGCTTCTTGTCCTCTGAAACCGCATCGTCCTTGTGTTTGTCCTTCTCTCGAGAAACAACGCCGTCCTTGTGGCGCTTCCTCGGCGTGTAGGAAGCGGAGCGAACGGGAGGGGGAGCGGTGGCATGGTTTCCGATGATGGTGGTGATCTTTCTGGTGGTCGTGGAGGGAACATGTGAAGAATGAGGGCAAGTCGATTGATTCGACTCTTGCGTGTTTGGGTGGGTCAAATATCCTGCAGTACATCGCTTAAGAATTATGCTAACCGACCGATAAAAAAAACAATTATGCTCACCAATACGTCGTCGTTTGCAGATGAAGAGGCTGAAGAGCAGCAGTGTAAAGACAAGCCAACTGCAGGGGTATTTAAAATGTGATAAAATGGACACATGTCAACATTCTAACTCCTTATACTTTTTCTTATATGTATAAGGGAGATATGCAAAAAAGATTTCTGGAATACTCCTTTGTAGATGATTCTTTTTTTATTTTTAACGTATTTATTAGAATCATTGATTTGTGTTAGCACATATATGTTATATACACAAAATACAATTTACATGGCGCCAATTCTCATCTGTGAGGACTCTTTTTGATTTTATCATATTTATTATAGTCAATAATTTGGATTGACATTTATATACCCAAAAATAAATTTATAGTATATTTAAATATGTTTTTTCATTGTAGTAGATTTTAAAAATGAAAGTTTTTTTAGGAGATATGCACAAATTCTTTTTTTATGTGAGATATACACAAATTTTTTTTTATGGTATTATTTTTTTACAATTGTTTTTTAAAAAGAAATTAAAATTTTGTATAGTAAATTGATTTTCTATTTTGTGTGTAGACAAGATTAAATTTGCTGTGCAAAATGAATATATATATATATATATTTATATATATCTACTACATAAAAAATTTCATACATATAACAGTTGTCCAATTAAAAATTGTTCGGCTTGAAATAGTGATATCTAACTACTAATGTTTTTATATTTTTTATCTACTATATACAAATCTCTCTCATAAAATTAGCTTGATGTAATGTTTAATGTTTTGTATGTTGTTATACATATTTATTCATGCATATTTGTAGATGGTAATACATATTATTCACGAATATAATTACTAATATTTTTTTAGACTTTAACACAAATTTTCAAATGCAATATTTTGTATGTTTTAAAGATGTTATGTGTGTGTGTGTGTGTGTGTGTGTGTGTGTGTGTTAAACTTTTTTTAGAGATGTTTTATTATAGTTTAGAAAAAATTTAGGTGACATCACATTCCTTAAGAATAATATAGAATATTTTAAACAATCTTACATATGTTATGTAACATTTTAGGTATTTTTAATATTTTAAATATAAATGTTTAATTTTCTTTTGAACAAGATAATCAAAAGTATGAAAATAATAGTGAATATTATTTAGCTAAGCAAGTATAATCGATATTAAAATGATAAACTAACAACGCATTTGTCGAATTTCCATGTAAATTATCATATTATAAACAAATCCATTTTAAGGTTCCATTTAAGTTCAAGCGACACCAGTTCATTCTGATCTCACAGTTCCATTTAAGAGTCAAGATAAGTCTTTTTGTATAAAAAAGTATACAAATATTAGTAAATATTAATAAGCTAATTAGGTATAATCGATATTAAAATGATAAACTAACAGCTCATTTGTCGAAATGCCAAGTAAATTATCATATTATAAATAGATATGTCTTAGGGTTCCATTTAAGTTCAAGCGACATCAGTCTCGAGTTCCATTTAAGAGTCAGGACAGTTATCGTGCGTTGGCACATTTTTAAAAAAATTTATTTTCAGTCAGGACCAATTATATGTTGTTTGGCGTGTAAGTAATATATAAAGAAGAGTCATGGCCATTTCGTGCGTTAACATGTTCCTAAAGAAATCAGTTTTTTGATTCAACCAATTATATGTTGTTGTTTCGAATGTAAGTAATAGAGACAGGCGGAAAATATTAGTTTGTGGAGACGATGTGTTGACCAATTATGAAAAAAATAAAATTGTGTACATTGAAGTTCTTAATAATATATTTATTTTCATGATAAATATTTTATTATTTGACAATATCCCTAAGAATTATTACTCTTTTATTTATTAATACACTTTAATTTATAATATTTCTCAAAATAAATATAGCCCGTGCATCGCACGGGTTACATACTAGTATATACTCCCTCCTGTTTTTTTTTTTAAATGTCATTTTGGCTTTATCAACCATTAACCAAATAAATGCCGTTTTGGATCTTTTGTACACATTTTTTCATTATTACCCCCACTTAGCTAATAAATACATTACACCTTTTCATATTCACTCTTCATCTTTTCTCAAAATATTCATCTATATCTTCATTAAATAAAAGTATTATTGATAAAAAATATTATTAATTAATGTGCAACTTTTCAAAACGACATATATATTAAAAATAGGAGGTAATATAAAGAGAAAACATATATACCAAAAATAGTAACAAAAATATCCGCCAAAATTAATTGCATGTCACTTTGGGAAATAATTTGAATTTTATTTACCATAAAAGCAGGCAACATTAAATGCTCCTTTAAATGGTGGGATTATTCAATTAAGGTATATTCATTCATTTTATCTTACCTTCCATATAATCATATTCCTAATAAACATTAAATTTTCTTATAATTTTAAATTAATTACATCAATAAATAATATTAATATTAATATTTATCATTAGATCAAAAATAAAATTATTTCTATAAGTGTTATAAATAATAATAACATTATACGACAACAGTTTTTTGAATAAAATAATATTTGAGTAATACGATGAACCAAAACATGTAATATTATTATTTTTTCTGTATTAAAAAATATATATGTTAAAATATTATTTATATTAATATAAACGGATCAACGAGCTAATATATTGTTAAAATAAATTATGAAAAAATGTTTTAATATACGAAACATTGTGTATCGCACGATATTCTCACTAGTAATGACATATAGTCGGCGTAAGGATGATGAATTGATATTGTTTATTATGTTGATGTTGACAATGATTACGAGTAATTTATATATTTATTAATAAAAAAATAATAAGTGAAAAAAAAAGGGGGAGTGGACCAAAATAAAAAACACGTATTCACTAAATACGTTTTCTTTACAATTTAATTGTAAAACGTATTTAGGAAATATGTTTTACAAATTTTTTTTACAAAAGAAAACGTATTTACAAAATACATTTTATAAATAAAAATATTGAAAGACGCATTTTGTAAATACGTGGTTTTGATTCTTGTCCACCTCCCCTTTTCTGTTTTGTTTTTTGTCTAGCACTTGTTTTTTTTTTTATTTTTTTTCACGTAAAAAATTCCAATGATTAGAGTAGAATTAAAATTTTGAGTTAAATTTGTATCCCATGGAAATCTATGTGTAGCCAGCTACTTGCACTAACCCAAAACATTGAAGTCCAACCAACGAGGGTAGATTAGTCATTTCACATCTGAAATTAGCCAACTCCTCTTCGACCCGGAAAAATAACCGAGGAATTTTTGTTTCAAGCTACTTTCTCCGCCATGGATAAAACTTCTCAAGACTTGGAGCTCTATACCATCCCCAGCTACTCCAGTAAGTCCGACTATCTCGATGAAGGATATGTTATATGTTCATACAATGTATCTATCTTCGCATGAGTGTATTTGCCCTAAATCCTGAACTCGTTTCCTAATTTTTTGTTTTCCTGTCTAATTTCTCGACAAAAGGTTGGTTCGCATGGAACAACATTCACGAAGTGGAAAGATTTTCACTGAGAGAGTTTTTCGACGGGAGCACGGTGACCAGGTCACCCAGAATCTACAAGGAGTACAGAGATTTCATCATCTCCAAATACAGGGAGGACCCATCCAGAAGGCTGACCTTCACCGATGTCCGGAAGTCACTCGTTGGTGATGTCAGCATCCTCCTTAAGGTGTTCACTTTTCTGGAGAAATGGGGCCTCATTAACTTTAACGCTGCTGATAGTAACAATGAGAAAACTGGGCGTGATGAGGAAGATGAGAAGTGGAGGGGTAGAGTGAAGGTGGAAGAAGGAGCTCCTCATGGGGTGAGGGTAGTGGCCGCACCAAATACGGTTAAACCAGTCTTACCGCCCCCTCTGCCACTGTCTGTGGCGGTGGATGGTGGTGGGTTTGTTGGGGAAATAGGGGAAAATGGCTTCAAATGGCCGCCATTGGCTTCATATTCTGATATCTATGGGGAGTTGATGCAGCCGCAGAAGAAGGGTTTGGTGTGTGGAAGTTGCAAAGATAGCTGTGATTCGGCACACTATGAATACGAAAAGGTTTTCTACTTTTTCTCTTGTGATTTTGTTATTTGATAATTGGTCCTTTTTCGTGTGAATGGTTTTTTGTTTAATTTTTAATTAGGATCATGCGAATTAGAAAGCGACCAATGCATAGCTTATGGGGATCGTGTCTTGGAACAAATGGTTATTATTAATAAGGATGAATAGTTACACAGTACTTTCATGAATGTTTTTGTTTCAGCATTGCACAAAGGACTCTATATTGCTCATTGACTTATGTGAAGACGTAATGTGTTTGTGCTTGAACCTTTCCATACAGAGTATGTCGAAAACAAACATCACATGAACCTAGCGATGAGAACTCAGGAAATAGGGCTAGTGCAGTAGGGCTTCGTGATGTCTATTGATATTTAAAGTGTGCTTTTCATTAAGATTAAATTACATCACCCAGTGGTATACATGGGACTCTACTTTTCAGGAAAATAATCAGGAAAACCTCATGCCCAGGGGAAAGCATTTTTTAATGCATCAGTTGATCAATTAATATTTTGGTAATTTTATAAAAGTTTTTGAACCAGTTGACGTCTTATGTTGTTGAGATCACCTATATATCACTAAATTGTGCAATTGATTCTCGTCTACCTGTGTAAGATGTTGCATGTATGATAATAACACCTCAGCCATGGGGAACGAAAAGCAAAGTAAATGAAGTTATTTCCTAAAATTGGTTTTCGAGATAGTGTGTTACTGTTTTGCCTCCATGGCCACTTGGGATAAATGGCGTGGAAGGACAGATTATTGATTAACCATGCTGATTGATTACTACCTAGAGAATGTGGAAAGTTTATGCTTGCTTTGTCATGATATGTGACAAACTAGAGCAAAGAGTTCTGGCCTTGAGGCTCGAGTGGAAGTAACATTTAGAATAGGACTTCGGAGTGGATGCCTATAGTTGGACTTTGGGGGTCGTAAAATTGGACTTTGGGATTTTATTTGGTTGATGAGCAACAGCAGGGATTAACCATATAAGTATGCGTTATGATCGTAAGCTATTCCAGCTCTACTCTTTACTAAATTCTGAAAAGTAATGTTACACCTCAAGCTACGGTTTGTTACCATCCCTCATTATGTTTGAAATAAGTACTCTCCTACTTTCCTCCTACTAAATACATCTATTCTTTTCTTTTGGGCTATATCAACCAACTGTCTTTTATTTAGTACAAATATTCACTCGTCACTCTTACTCATATGTAGAATAGCATTTTTTTTCCTCAATCTTTTTATGCTAACATCTTGAAATGTGCATATCCATTTTCATTTTGGAATTTAAATTCTGGAAGGACCTAGATTTTATTTGATGTAAGTAACTTAAAGGTGCACATGTTTATTTGATGTAAGTATCTCCCTTACATGCTGGTATAACCAGAGATCTATCGGTTTATCCTTCCGGAACCTATATAAATATATATTTACAGTGTTCTAAAAATAAATGTACATGTAACAGTTTCCTGTAACAAGATATCATATAGCTTTTCATATCACTTGATAGTTACCCACGGTTGAAAGAACAAAAAAATCATATACGTCAAGCTGGACATGAGCACTTCACAATTTTAATAAGTGGTTATTACCAGACAATCAGTGATTTATTATTTCTTATATCTCCGTCTATCAGGAAACAAACTTTATTCTGTGTCAAAAGTGCTTCAAAGGGGGTAACTATGACCAGGACAAAGTAGCAGATGGTTTCCAGTTAAAGGATTGTGTGAATCAAGCTACTGTGTGGACCGAGGCAGAAACTTCACTTCTCTTAGAATCGGTTTTGAAGCATGGAGATGATTGGGATCTTGTTACTAGGAATGTCCAGACAAAAACCAAACTGGAATGTATATCAAAACTTATACAGCTACCTTTTGGAGATCTTATGTTGGGGGCTATACATAGAAAGGGTAGATATTTGGATCTACTTGCTGATAGTAGTGACTCCATACCAGCAAACATATGTTCTGACAAACCACAAGGAGCCGTGAAGGAGGAGCCAAACTCCGAGCTTCATGATAAAAACCAGCCAGATGGAGATGTTGAGAATGAAGGTCCACCTCCTAAAAAAGTTCGCTCAGAGTTTACCTCAGATGTTGGAATTTCTTTGATGAAAGAGGTACTTTTTTTACATATTCCTTGTGGTTGACTAAGGCTTCACTTAATTTCTAAACAAACAGCACATACAGATGTGAATACTACAGGATATTCATGGTTGCCGATCATCTTCTTAAAGTATTAATGGATATTATATAATTTCTTTATCTATTGTGATACCTGAGATCATAGGGAAATAATTTGTCCAGGTCTTGAGTAAATATGTTTACTACCCTCAGTATTTAAAACAATTATCATTTCTTATGAAAATATTGTGTTTTACCTTGAAAATTTCTTTGGAGATTAGAAATGACAGCCTTTTTCCTTTAGTCTGTGCCAAAACCCTAGAAAAAATTTGGTGGTATTTCAATACATGGATGTGTGTGTTAGGGTTATCTGTTATTGTTTTTGTTTTTCTTTCCATTTTCCGTTATTTTTGTTCATGATTTAAAACTGCCACTTCATGCTGCCCAATATTATCTTGACTGTCTTAGTGCCAGAAAGAAATCAATGAAATTCTGAAGTGGAACAACAATGCATTCTCTTTGAAATTATTTTCTCTTTAAAGCGTCTCATCCTGCATATATCTTCATCCGATGTCACAAATGCAAATGAAAATGCTTAAGCCATCAAATCTTTGGTGTTATAGTCTTATATAAGTTTCGACGTGAAGCTATCATATCAGTTAACTACGTGTTATTCCATACAATGTTGAATTGTGAAACCTACTTTTCCAGGTAGCCCGTATCTCTCGTTTGTTGGGCCCACATGTCACCGCCTCTGCAAACGAAGCTGCTGTTGCTTCACTTTGCTTCGAGAATCAGTGTTCGAGAGAAATATTTGATGATGATGACAATAATATGAACACAAAATCTTCTCCTGAGATTAGCAATCAACAGAGGTATTCATCTACTCAAACTACATAACCTGCTCATTGTTGATTGTATTTATCCTAAATTTTGATATATGTTGACATTCTTATCAGTTTAGCAGACGCTGATGATGTAGCTGAAGACAAAAGACCCATTCAAACAGGTATCCCCATTCGTTAATGATCCAATGGATGGTGGCTAAAATTTATTAAGTGTAACAAAAGAAGAAAAAAAGATGGCATTATCACACGAAATTGTAATTCGGAGTATGAAGGAAAGAAGAGAAATGATTAATTATATTAACTTATTAATTTTCGTAATATTAACAATTAATTGAGTTTGTGCAGTTTTGGGCATTAATAAATAGTTTATTCTAAAGAAGATGTATAGAATTCCTACAATCACTGTTAACTGGGCCGGCCACCTTGCTGAAATAACTGGGTTCGGTCTAAGTTGTGTTCATCTTGCCATAATCAGATGCCTTTGGACTTTTGTTTTTTTCGTGTTTTGTGTTATTCTTGGGGATACAGAGTATTTGATTGCTATTTGTCCACAGAAATTCAGGAGACATCCTCTGCAAATAATATAATACCATTGAATTTGCGAATGAGGGCTGCATCTGCTACAGCTCTTGGTGCAGCTGCTGCAAATGCCAAGGTGTTGGCCGATCAAGAGGAGAGAGAGATTGCACATTTGGTGGCTACTATGATTGAATCCCAGGTTACTGCACCTATTTCTCATAATTATATTCGGATGAAATAGTTAATATAATTGTTCAACTTTATCCAATTCACAAAACATGTCCGTATATATTCAATATTTCTGTACATCCATTCTCCTGCAAGATTTATGTGTTCTTTGTCACGATAGAACATGTTTGTGACGATCTATCAATTATCATTGGTCGATTGAAATACAGTTGAAGAAATTGCGGCGCAAGATGAAGTATTTTGAAGAAGTGGAGCTAATTATGGAAAAGGAGTACAGACAACTAGAGAAACTGGAAGAGTCGCTATTAGCTCAGCGTATAAGTTTCACTCAAATGGTAGTTGGTGTTGCCAAATCAAAGGAGCATGACAATGACATAACCAAGTATCCAACCGATGTTGTTGAGTGAATTTTTCGTCGTTTTTGTTGTTTCAGTTACTAATAGCAGCAGCCCTGTTGTAAACTACCATGGTGGTGTACTGGTGTTAAAATCAAAATAACTGAAAATCCCTTCATTTAGGAACACAGGATTGTTGTAGTGTTCTTACATGTTGTTAGTTTTCTGTTCACAGGAAGTGTGATAGTGATTTCATTTTCTTTCTAAGAGTACGAACCATATAAATTTAGGATGAATGAATCTTTCTTTGTTCCTTCGTTATTATGTCCAAGTTTTTATTCAATTTTCATGAAGTTGGATCAAATACAATGCAGTAAGTAGTAACATGCCCAATTCTTCCCACTATTCAAGCACCCATCATCTATTTTGCATTAACTCTCAACACTTTACAATAAAACCTTAACATGTAAGGACTATATGCAGTACACAAAATAGATTAGCTTATCTACTTCCATGTCTTCGCCTAAGAAAACCCGAGTATAAATAGTTACAGTTGGATGGGCACATTAAGTAGAAGAAGAAAAGGAAAAAGCAGAGCAAGCTTATATATATTCCAACTGATCAACCCAAGCAAACACAGTACTTGCCTTCGGTTCCGACTACACAGCTTGCACTAGCAAATTTGGTCGACAGTAACTTCTTACATGCAGCAATGCATTCGGGCTCTGTGCATGGACTTAGGTCAATCCCGATTGCACCCTCCACACTTGTTGAATCCATAACTGATATTCCAATTGTAATTGCTACAACCAGAACCAGATATTTCATTGAGGGCCTCATTTCTTCTTCTTCTTCTTCTTCTTCTTCTTCTTCTTCTTTTGGTTTTTTATTTTTCTGTAGTATGTATGTGGGCTGGAGAAGGCAAACTTATCAACTTAGCATTTAAAGAGATGGAGACATGATGAGTGTGATGGGTTAGCTCCCAATTATTC